CCACTGAGCTAAATCCCTGGCCCCTGAATCACTATTACCTAAGCAACTGTACTTATAACCTTATTGGTTGATCAAAGCTTTAACCCATGTTGTACTCACATGGTTGTGCTTTATAAAACTTGCCCTGAAAAGTGGAGTATTCTGCTACCCATTTGTTTTTTGTTTGTTTGTTTGTTTTGGTATAGGGGATTGAACTTGGTACCTTGCACTTTCAAGGCAGGCGGCAGAACCACTGAGCTAAACCCCCCTCCCCCCAGCCCTGTTTTTTGAGACAAGGTCTCAATATATAGTTCAGGCTGGACTTGAACTCAAAGAGATCCTCCTGCCTCACTTTCCCAGATGCTGGGATCACAGGCATGCACCACCATGCTTGACTCTCTTGTCTCCTTTTTACCAAGATTTTATTTCATATTTTTATATTATTGCAAATGAGAAGGCCCCTAGGTCTGATCCCTAGTAACACCAAAATAAAGAAAAAAAAGAAAAAATCCTCAATAAAGTAGTAGCAAGCCAAATCTAAACCATGAGAGAATTGTACAGCATGGGCCAGTGGGATTTTCCCCCTGAACGCAAGGGAGTTCTGGGAAGGAGGGCCACTGCACTGGTCAGTAGTTCAGGTTCCACATCTCTTGCCGCACTGTTACTACCCACTTGAGTCAAGGACAGCAGAACACTGACACAGGTTACATGAAGCAGGTTTCCTATTTATAAATTTCCACCAGGGGACAGCAAAGGCTGCAGATTCTGGGCACCCTGGGGGCCGGGGCCTGGGGCCAAGGGAGCCATGTCTGGACCCCCACCCCATCCCTGCTGGCTGCAGCCTAGGGAGGTGGGAAGTGCCAGCCCTGGGCTTTGCATCTGGGCCACAGGGTGTCCTTGGCTGAGCCCTGAAGGGCACCCACTTCCCCAGAGGCCTGGGGCCTGGACCAAAGCCCAGCCATGCTCATATCTCAAATTGCTGCACTCTCAGTATATTCTCTGTTATTCTTGAAGAATAACAGAAGATGGGAAAACTGGCCCAGGTCATGGTCACCTGAAGATCTGTCCTGTAGGTTCCACATGAGAACATGAGCCAATGTAATACATGATGTGAGCAAAACATGTGGCAAATGTTTAAATTTTTAAAAAAATGTATTACAGAAAAGACACATTCCCATAGTTCTCTTTCAAAATTCTCTCCCTCACTTTGAACACACTTATCTCATCACTCTTGCCACTTTCTGCAGCAGTTCTGGAACTCCTCTTTCATGGGTGTCTTTAGTTTCACTATTGTGGCTGTCTGGATGTCCTGAATCCATTCAAAACATTTCCCTTTCAAGGTCATTTTGAGTTTGGGAAAGAGCCAGAAGCCACAGGGTGCCAGATCTGGTGAATAGGGTGGATGAGGACACAGTGTCATGTTTTTATTTGACAGAAATTGCACCAGAAGTAACTTGAGACACAGAACTTTGGTGCAATGGAAGATGAAAGCATTTGGCCATTTCTATGCACATTTTTTGTTTGTTTTTTGAGACAGGGTCTTGCTATGTAGCTCAGTCTGGCCTTGAACTCACTGTGTAGCCCAGGCTGGCCTCAAGCTCGTGGTGACTCTGCTGCCTCAGCCCCCCAAGTGTTGGGATTACAGTCCTGCACCACCATGCCTGACACAGTCCTTACCTTTAAGTCACTGGTTATCCAGTGAGGAGAGAATATCCAAGACGACACTGGAGACAGCCTAGTTCCATGTTTCCCTGCCAATCATCTGGATGTGGCCTTTTCATACCAGGTAACATATTCTTTTTTTTTTTTTTTGTACTGGGAATTGAACTCGGGTCCTTGCACTTGCGCAGCAGGCGGCAAAACCACTGAGCTAAATCCCCGGCCCCAGTAACATATTCTTTACATGGAGCCAGGTATTAAAAAGAAAGCTTTATGATTATCATAAGTAGGATAATCAATATCATTTGCCAAATGTATCAAGATAAACCGTCAATAATCATGAACACTGAGCAGTTAAAGGTCTAGCTTTATATTATTGTTCCACCGAAAGTGTTGAAGCTCAGTGTGGCAGTGCATGCTGAAGGCTTAGGCAGGTTTGCCAAATTGGAAGCCAGGGTGGGCAATTTAGGAACACGTTGTCTCAAAATCAAAGTGAAAAGGGCTGAGGATGTGGCTCATTGGTAGATCTTTCGTCTACCATGTGGGACCCCTGAGTACAATCCCCAGTACCACAAAAGGATTTTGGGGGGGGTACCGGGGATCGAACTTTTGACCTTGTGCTTTCAAGATAGGGATGGTGCCACTGCGCCAAATCCCCGGCCTTCAGAAAAGGATTTTTTAAAAATAAAAATAAAAAATAAAGATGTCATGAAACGAAACTTTTCTCTGCCAATAATGATGAATTCGGGCCTGGGATTTAGCTCAGTGGTTTCACCACTTGCTGCGCAAGCACAAGGACCCGAGTTTGATCTGCTCCCCAGTACCAAAAAAAAAAAAAAAAAAAAGATGAACTCTAACATTCTCAATATGTGACTGAGCATAATTTACCGTATCTCATCAATTCCGTGGCAAATTATTTTTCAAAATTTATTTTAAAATTAGAAGCATCTTACGATCAATGGGTGTGATAATTAATTAGTGTTAATTGGTAATTACCACACTTGATAAGTGGGCTCTGGAGCTAGGATAGCTCAGAAGAGGTCCCAGCAGGGAGTCCTGACACTTGTGGACTACGGATAGCGACACTTAACTCACAGGTGAGGCGTTCATGAATCTTGACCCCACATGACAGCACAATAACGTAGATTTTGTTTGTTACTCAGAGTTTTTTGGGGTGTTTTTTGAGACGGTCTTGCTATGTCGTTCAGGTTGGTCTTGAACTCACTATGCAGCCTAAACTGGCCTCAAACTCACAGCAATCCTCCTGCCTCAGCCTCCCGAGTGAAGGGATCACAGGCGTGCACCATTACACCCAACTTCAACCTATTTTTGCACTGTGATACACATCATATGAACCCAACTTTCATTACTGGGTTCCTAAGTGGCGTAAGGACCACCTCACTCTAGGGAGGCTACCCTCGACTGCGGCTCCCGGGTCTCTCAAGGTGCAGAGCAGAGCAGAGCAGAGCGGTGCAGAGCAGAGCGGTGCAGAGCAGAGCAGAGCAGCCCGGTGCAGAGCAGAGCAGAGCAGCCCAGAGCAGAGCGGTGCAGAGCAGAGCAGAGCAGCCCAGAGCAGAGCGGTGCAGAGCGGTGCAGAGCAGAGCAGCCCAGAGCAGCCCAGAGCAGCGCAGCGCAGCGCAGCCCCGCCCCGCCCCGCCCCAGCAGCTTCTTCATTGGGTGTTCTGCGCCGTGACGCCCGCGCCCTCTGTGACGTCACGGCTTCGACCCCCGCGAAAAGGGCGGGACTCTCCTCCAGGGGCCCATTACGTGCTGACGCCACACGTTGAGGCGGGGCTGAGAGTTTGGTTCCCGGAGTGGGGAGTCCGCGTCTCACTCGGGTGGAGCAGAGCGGGAGACAGGTAACTGCGCGCTGCACCTGGGAGTGGGTAGTGCCGGCTGGGTAGACCACTTACCTGGCGGAGGTCAAGGCCGAGGGTGAGGCCGCCGCGCCCTTGGGTTCCTGGGCGCTGAGATGACTAGAGTGGAGCTGGATAGAGCGGGGCAGGCGGAGGGCGGCGGTGGTAGGCGGGTACAGGGCTTGACGGACAGGCGCGGTAGCCAGTGGCGCCGGGGGTGCCGCCCGCCGGGCGGGCATTGGCGGGAGAGGGCGCCCGCCGGGGGTCGCGCGGGGCGCGGAGTGGCTCGCCATTGGCTGCGGGTGGCTAGCCGGCTGCGGCGCGGCGGCCGGGGTGACCCCCAAGGTTGTGGCGGCGTCACTTGGCGGGCACCATGGGGCTGAGTCTTGCCGCGCGGACCTCCCTTTGTCCTGGGGAGCGGCCGACCTGCCCCGGGCTGCGCGACCTTGGCGGCTACCTCGGCCCCTCCGGACGCCCAGGGCCGGTAGCACCTGTAAGGGGGGAAGCCCGCATATGTGCACGGCTCTCGGGTGCCCTTTCCCTTGGGAAGGGTGTGTGACAGCCGCTGGGATGTTTCGGGGACCTGACCCCGAGCCGGGTACAGTGCCAGGCCCTGAAGTGACAAGCTCTGCAAGTTTAGTCGCCTGTCTCCCTGAGGACAGGTATAGGGGCATTGATGGCATCTGTAAGCGGGCAGTCAGGGCGTGGGGAAGGGGTGGTGCCTGGTGTCCGCGCCCGGGCAGACCCACTTCCGGCCCATTGTGCGCATGTCCGGAAGATGGCGGCCGTGAGCATTTTAGAGTTGGAGCTCGAAGTCCTTTGGCTGCAGAAGGTCACTTATCACACATCTTTACAGTCCCCCAGGAAGGCGGGCCACCGGCTTGAGATAGACTCTGAGTTTCGGAGAACTTAGCATCGTGGCCATCTCCTTGGCAGAGATGTCAGCTGAAGGAGTCATTGGGAGGATACAGTTTAGGGACGTGACCTCTAAAGTTGGTGATAGAAGCTAGGTGAGGCAAAAGATTTATTCAGGTTTCCCCTCGATTTCATGATTCAGGCTTGCCCCAAGTGTGTCTGTGCCCCCTTTTTTCTGACACCAGCAGAGGAAACTGTATTGGGGTTTCTTCATGGCTGCTCTGCCCTGCACTTGGAGCCCGATTGCAGGTGCACTCATGTTAGAATGAGTGGCACCAGGTGCAGCAGTCAAGCCACCCATTTATTGCTGTGACCCACCTGATGGAAATATTTGATATTATTGTAGCTTTCTAAATGAGCTCAGACGGATCTTGGGAAGTTGGAGAGAGTTCGTAGTATCTTTGTTTGTGGTGCTGGGGATTGACCCTAAAGGCTTAGCACTGAGCTATATCCCCATCTCTATTTTTTGAGTCAGGGTCTTGCCAAGTTGCTAAATTGCCCAGAATGGGCTTGAAGTTATGGTCCTCCTGGCTCAGCCTTCTGGAGTGCTGGAATTACAGGTGTTTGCCACCACACCTGGCTTCTTATTAATTTTTTTTTTTTTTGGTACCTGGGATTGAACTCGGGCCCTTTCGCTTTCGAGGGGGGCGGGCTTTCAAGGCGGGCGGCAGAACCACTGAGCTAAATCCCCGGCCCTCTCATTAATTTTTTTACAATACTTTTAACATTTCAATTACCTTTTCTCCTTGAATAATAGCTTTTTTGAGATATAATTCACAATATAATTCATTCTATACAATTCACCCATTTAAACTCATTTCAGTAGTTTGTAATATATTGTTAGCAGCCACCACAATCCAGTTACTTTGAAAGACTAATTTGAGTCTCAGAAATATTTATACACAAGTTTCTGTTGGTTTTGATTAAATTTAAATGCTCTTTATTTTTTTGCTTATCAATAGTTGGAAATTATTTTTCATGGTTCTGGAGGATCCAGGTGCTGGTAGATTCTGGGTGTGGTGCTAGCCTGCTTCCTGCTTTGCAGACAGACAGCGCTCCTATGTTCTGTTCTCACATGACAGAAGAGGAAGGGAGTCCTGAGGCCCCTTTTTTAAAGGCACTAATCCCATTCATTAGGGTTTGCCCTCCTGAGCTAATCACCTCCCAAAAGACCCCACCCTTAATATTCTCACCTTGGAGATCAGCATGTTAGCATATGAATTTTCCTAGGACACAAACATACAGATCATAGTAGCAGACTTCGGGCAGGAGGAGTGGATCAGCCAATCAGGATCTGTGTCTGTGAAGTGAAATCCACCAGGGCACTAGCACTGAGGCTGTGTGTGTAGACTACTCACAGCCAATGACTGGATGTGAGGGGAGACCAAGGCAGGTTCATTCGTGGACATGGGGCCTCCTCACTAGTCACTGTGGAGAATGCTCAGTATATTAAGTCCCAAGTATTTACTGTGTTTATGATATATTGGGATGAGTTAAAGACAGCTCCTTTGTGAGTACCATTTTACAGTACTATTTTTATTTTTTGAGATAATTGTACAAATTATGAGAAATTTAGGTGTTGTAAAATTTTGAGAAATTCTACATACAGATCTGTTATATACAGTCAACCCAGATTTTTTTTCTTTTTAAACTCTGGTTTTGGTTGTTGTTTTTTGGTACTGGGGATCGAACTCAGGTCCTTGTGCTTGAGCAGCAGGCGGAACCACTGAGCTAAATCCCCGGCCCTGTTATATACAGTCAAAACAAATAGGAGCCGGGTGTGGTGGTGGACAGCTGTAATCCCAGCACTCACCTGTAATCCCAGCACTTGAGAGGCTGAGGCAGGAGGGTCACTTCGAGTTTGAGGCTAGCCTGAGCTACATAGTGAGTCCAAGGCTACCCTGAAGTACATAGGCTTAGTCTCAAAAAAACAAACATAAAAATAGTGGAAAGATCCTGGGTTCCTTTCCCTGCTTTTCTCCAGTGGTAGATTTTTTCCAAATTACAGTACGTACCATAACCAGATATTTCATTAGTAGAATTCAAGATACAGAATATTTCTGTAATCTCGAGGATATGTCCTTTTGCTTTTTTTGTTGTTGAGACAAGGTCTTGCTGTGTAGTTCAGGTTGGCCTTGAATTCACTGTGTAGCCCAGACTGGCCTTCAACTTGCAGCATCCTCCTGCCTTCCAGCCATGGCGTTACCGCTCGTACCACCACACGAGCTGTCCTATTGCCTTTTTAAAGTCAACACTGACGTTCCTTCTGCCCTCAACCCTTCACCTCCTGGGAACAAGGCAACCAGTTCACTTTGCCTAATTTTGGTTCCCAAGAATGTCAAATAAAGGGTGTCATACAGCCTTTTGGAATTGACTTTCCATTCAGCGCAGTTCCGTAGAGTTTCATCCCAGCTGTGATGTATTATCGCTGGTTTGATCCTTTCTCTGGCATCTGCTATGGATGAACCACAGTTGGTTTAACTCTTCATCAATACCTGGCATTTTTTGGTATTCTTTTATATAATAGCTAAATATTGGAAGCTGCTTATATGTCCACCAATAGATGATTGCACAAAGAAAACATATATACAGTGAAGTACTACTCTACCATAAAGGACAACTTGGACTCCTTTGTAGGAAAATAGATGAACTTTGAGACCTCAATGTTGAGTAAGATGCACAAGTTTAAATATTACATGGTTTCGCTTATATGAGAAACTCAATATGTATATTTATTATTATTATTATTATTATTTTTGGTGGTACTGGGGATTGAACTCAGGACCTTGCCCTTGCCAGGCAGGCAAGGCACCACTGAGCCACATCCCCAGCCCCCCCAAATATATATTTATTTTATTTTATTTTTTGCAGTACCTGGGATTACACTCAGGACCTTGGGCTTGTGAGGCAGGCACGGTGCCACTGAGCTAAATCCCTGTCCTCCAAATATATATTTAAAAAAGAGTAAAATAAAAGAGAGATAATGGGAGATCTGTTGTAAAAGGGAAAGGGATCAAGAGTTGGAGAGAGGACCAGGCATGGTGGTGCACGCCTGTAATCCCGGGCCTCAGGAGGCTGAGGCAGGAGGATCATCGAAAGTTCAAGGCCAACCTGGGGTATATATGAGTTCAAAGCTAGCCTCAATTACATAGGGATACCTTGTCAAAAGAGAGAGATGAGGAAGGAGGGAAGAGAGGGGAAGGGGATGAAGGAATAATTAAGATTTGCTACATACATGTACCAACTCCCCAGGATGAATGTAATCATTGTGTACTGCAAAAATGTGCTCATAACAAAAATTAAAAAGAAAAAGATTACCCATTCTATTTGCTCCACAACCTTACCAGCATTTGATGATGTTACTGTTTTTTATTTTAGCCATCCTAATATGTATAAAGTAATGTCTCGTTGTGGTTTTAAATTTGCATTTCCTTGATGGCTAATTATACTGAACACCTTCTCATATGTTTTTTTGCCCATTGGCAAATAAATGCTATTGATTAAAAAGTCCATATCTTTGTCCCATTTTATGGTCAGATTTTTTTTTAAGATTTTGACTGTTGAAGTAGGCTTTGCCTTGAATTTGTGTTGCTCCTGCCTCAGCCTCCCTAGTAGCTGGGATTACAGGCATGTTCCACCATACTCAGCCGGTTAGCTGTTGAATCTTGATAATTTTTTTTTTCTAACAGTGGTAGCAAAGGTTTATTAAAGGTAGAAAAAGAAACAGGCTCTGGAGAGTGAGTTTGGGACAAGTAAAAGTAGAAGTAGTACACTGTACAGCATGAAGCCAGGCCACTATGCAAGAGTGAAAAAGGTGGCTGAGAAGTCTTTTTTTTATTTTTTAAGTTTTGGGTTCTTTTGAAACAGGGTCTCACTATGTATTCCATGCTGGCCTTGAACTCACTCTGTAGCTTAGACTGTCCTCAAACTCAATGGCAATCCTCCTGCCTCAGCCTCCTGCTGGAGTGCTGGAGGTCACAGACATGTACCACACCACTCCTGGCTCCAGCCTTTATCAAGAATAAACCTTACTAGGTCATAGTATATAATTTTATATGTTACTAAGTGCCATTTGACCATGTTTTGTGAAGAGATTTTGCATCTGCATCCCAGTATTGGTCTGAAACTATTGTTTTTAGGTAATGTGTTTGGATTTGATATCAGGGTAAGCGTTTGTTCCTTTGTACTGTCTGGAAGATGTGAGAATTTGAACTAGTTTATCTTTACGTACTTGGTAGAATTCTCCAGTGAAACTGCCTGGGTTTACAGATTGCTTTTTCAGGAACATTTTAATTACAGATTAAGTTTCTTATTGGGTGTGTTATGTTAGTTTGTACTATTATTGAATTCTTCCCTATCCTTGGTGATTTTTTTTTTTGGTACGGAGGATTGAACTCTGGTCCTTGTGCTTGCGAAGCAGGCAGTGGAGCGACTGAGCTAAACCCTTGCCCTCCTTGCTGATTTTTATGTCTAGCTGTTCTGTTGCTGAAAGAGGAGTGTAAAATCTCAAGCTATAAATTGTCTTTTGTGGGGCATGGCATTGCACACTTATAATCCCAGCACATGGGAGGCTGAGGCAGGAGGATCACAGTGAGTTTGAGGACAGTACTACATATTAAGACCCTGCTTCATAAATACATAAATAAAAAGGTTTTCTTTCAGATAGTATGTAGCTTTCTTATTTGGCACATGCACATTCAGAATTGCTGTACCTTCTTGGAAGAGTACGCCTTTATCATTATTTAATGTCCTTGTGTCTGGTAATTACCTTTGGTCTGAAGTCTACTTTATCAGCCACTGGTCCTTTCCTCTGATTAATATTGGCATATTAATTGGTGTATCATTCTCCTTTTCCTTCCAATGTTCTATCATATTTAAAGTGCGTTTCTTGTAGACAAGCATACAGTTCTCTCCTGTTCTTATCCATGTGCCCGTCTGTCTTCTAATGTGTGTACTTACAATTAATGTGATTATTGATAAGGACTTATGTCTTCCATTTTATTCTTTATTAACTACTCTGATTTTTCATTTGTTTTATTTTTTCTTCCTGTGAGCTCAACATATTTTGATTTGTTTTTTTGTTTGTTTGTTTGGGTTTTTTTGGTACTGGGGATCGAACTCAGGTCCTTGTGCTTCGAGGCAGGCGCCACAACCACTGAGCTAAATCCCTGGCCCAAACTTTTTTTTTTGGTCCAGGGGCGGTTGGGGGGGGGGATTGAACTTGGGATCTTGCACTTGTGAGGCAGGCAGCAGAACCACTGAGCTAAATCCCCAGCCCTGTTTGTTTTTGGTACCGAGGATCGAACTTAGGTCCTTGCACTTATGAGAGGCAGGCTGCAGAACCACTGAGCTAAATCCCCGGCCCAAAGTCTCTCTCCTTTTTTTTTTTTGGTACTGGGGATCGAACTTGGGACCTTGCTCTTGCGAGGCAGACAGGCAGCGGAACCAGTGAGCTAAATCCCCAGCGTAGCTCAGCATATTTTGAAATTCCATTTTTATTTGTATGTGTTGGTTTTTGTGGTTTTATTCTATTTTGTTTTTGGATGTTTTGAGACGATCCTGCTATGTTGTCCAGGCCAGCCTGAACATGCTATATAGCCCAGGCTAGTCTTGAACTTGAAATCCTTCTGCCTCAGCATCCTGAGTGCTGGGACTATAGGAGTGTGCCCATATATATATGTTGTTTTTTTTTTTGGTAGTCTTGGGAAGTGAACATGGTAGGCAAGTACTGTACTCGACCACTGAGCTATATCCTCAGCCCTTTTTACTTTATTCAGACCGTGTCCCAATAAAGTTGCCCCAACTGGCTTTGGTTTTAGGATGCTCCTGCTTTAGCCTCCCAAGTAGCTGGGATTGGAGATATGTATCACCATGCCCAGCTCATGTATCATTTTTGGGTGTATCTTTTTTGTTTGTTACCAGGGATCGAACTGGAGACCTTGCGCTTGTGAGGCAGGTGGCAGAACCACTGAGCTAAATCCCCGGCCCTGAGAGGTTTTTTTCTTTTTTTTAAAAAATTTTTTTTTTTTTTTTTTAGTACCAGAGATTGAACTCAGGACCTTGCGCTTTCGAGGCAGGTGCGGTGCCACTGAGCTAAATCCCCAGCCCTGGGTGTATCTTTTTACATGCTTTTTTTAATTGTCTAGATTTTTAAATTGTCTAGATATTACATTGTATAGATACAACTTACCAAGTTTGCTGGTGTCATCATTCTACCAGTTTGTGTGACGTATAGAAACCTTACATCTCTAGCTGGGTGTGGTGGCCCATGCCTGTAATCCTAGCACTTGGGAGGCTGAGGCAGGATTGCTGAGAGTTCGAGGCCAGCCTGGGCTACATAGTGGGAGCCTGTCTCAAAAAAAAAAGAAAGAAAGAAAGAAACTTACATCTTTGCTCACGCCCATTAAAATTGTCTTCAGTATTTCCTGGACATATATTTAGAGCTATAGCAGACCTGTTAAACTTTCTACTCCAGCCATCAAACATAATTTAAGAAACTGAAGAGAAGGAAATGATATCCATATATTCTTTTCAGTCCCTTCGCCCACCTTAAGACAGTGTCTTACTGTGTAGCCTAGGATGGCCTCAAGCTGAGGATCTTTCTGCCTCATCCTCCATTGTGCTGGGATTACAAGGGTGTGCCACCAGTCCAGGGATTTGATTGATTGAAACAGGATCTTGCTAAATTGCCTAGGCTGTCTTTTCTTGCCTCAGCCTCCTGAGTAGCTGGGATTACAGATGCGCACTGACATGCCTGGATCCTAGCCCTTTTTATTTTATTTTGAGACGGGGTCTGGCGAGATTTCCCATGCTGGTCTCAGACTGTGATGGTTCTGCCTCAGTAGTTGGGATTACAGGCATGCATCACCACGTCCAGCTTTTGATGGTGGCTAAGAAAAAAAATTTTTTTTGGTACCCAGGATTGAACTCCGGTCCCTCCGCTTTTGAGGCAGGCAGTGGAACCACTGAGCTAAATCCCTGGCCCAAGAAAAAAATTTTTTGAGTTCTTGCAGTGGAGCCCAGGATGGCCAGGAAGGGGCTGTGTAGTGCAGGCTGACCTTGAACTCACTCTTCCTGCCTCAGTCCTGGGATTATAGGTGTGGGCCACCACTTCTGGCGACAGTGGCTTTTTAGAGCCTTTGCCAGGTACTTACAGCTGTGTCATCTTGGCGGTGGCTCCTGTCACTTTGGAAAGGAGACTGTCCTGGTTCTTGCTGTGGGGAGTGCTCTTCAGTTGCAAGTGGGCTGCTTAGGGAGGAGTGGGGAGACATGATCTTTCCTAGGTCTGTGGGCAGAGCAGGCCAGGCTTCCTCTCAAGGATGGGCCGAGGATGCCTGGGAGGGGCTCCTTGTTACTGCTGTGGTGAGAGCTCCCCAGAGGCCCCAGAGAACCTGCTGCTGGGTGGGGCTGGAATGCAGGCTCTCTGCCTTTGCTCCCTGATAGGGTGGGGCTGGGTGTCCCTGGTTTGCGCTGTGACCTCACAGTGGGTGGAGCTGGGACCCACAAGTGTTTGCTGTTTCCCTGTTGCTGCCGTCCTACCTGGTGCTTGGGCTGAAAGAGCAGGCTTTTGTTGGGCTGTTTTTGTCTATACCTGTTGGCATTTCTGAATTGTGGTCTTTAGTGCTTAGTCTGGGACACACGACACAAATAAACAGAAGCATAAAAAAATGTGAGGTTTGTTCCTATCTGAAAGTTCGTAACTCCAATGAAAAGTGAGGGACTTACTGTAGTTCAGGCTGGCCTTGAACTCCAGCTTGATCCTTGTGCCTCAGCCTCTTTGATGTGGTGTTTTGGGGTTTTTTTGGTACGGGGGAATCAAACTCAGGACCTTTTGCTTGCAAGGCAGGCGCCAGAACCACTGAGCTAAATCCCTGGCCCCCGATGTGGTCTTCTTAATCTTGACTCAGCATCAATCAACTCTAGAATTGTGTTGTTTTTGTTTGTTTTTGGAGTACCAGGAATGGAACTTGAGACCTTACAGTTGTGAGGCAGGCTAGGGGCCACTGAGCTAAATCCCCGGCCCTCTAGAATTGTGTTTTAAAGCCTATTGTTGGGGCCGGGGATTTAGCTCAGTGGCCCCTTGCCTGCCTCAAGCGAAAGGTCCCAAGTTCAATCCCCAGTACTGAAAAAAAAATTTTTTTTCAACTCCTAAAATAAAATAAAGTCCAAGGTTGCTTACTACATCCAGAATATATTGCATGTTCACTTTCACTCATGAGGGGCAGATTTTGCTCACCTCTTATTGGGCTTTTATAGAACCTGTTCAGCTTTCCCTTTTCTCTATTTTCTCATCAACGGAGAAGCCTGGTCAGCCTCTCCATATTCTGAGTGGATCTGGGCCCAGGGGAAGGGCCCTGAGCTGCAGAAACTGTGCAGATGATGGTTTCTGTAATATTTATTTCTGGATGTTTCAGAAGGTGGACTCCATTGTGTATGTGTGGACATGGGTTTTGAATTCTTTGTTATTTGATTTGTTTTGGGACAAGGTCTTGATACGTTGCCCAGGCTGATCTTGAACACTCAAATGATCCTCCTGCCTTAGCCTCTGGAGGCTTGCACCACCACAACTAGCTCATAGTGTATTTTGTTGTTTGTTTTGGTGCTAGAAATTGAATCCAGGGTGTCTAGCATGCCAAGCCTCATTCTACCACTGAGCCACACCTGTACCCCTGGATGTGGGGTATAATTTCAACTTTACTACCAGGACATCTGCTTTGAGGCAAATTCATGATCAAGTAAGCGTTAGGTCAGGAGGCACACAACTCAACCTAGCCTTTTGGTGTTAAGCCTGAGGCCAGGGCTTTCTTCCAAGAGCCCCTTTTGCTGAGTTGGTTGCAGTTTGACAGCCAGGCCTTGCAGAGGGAGAGAGGCAGCCTGTTCCATCCGCCTCTCCTGAAAGTAAGTCACTACCTACAGGCAGCAGAATCCTGAACCTCCCCCGTCCCCAGTACTGGGGATTGAACCCAGGGCCTTGCGCTTGCTACGCAAGCAAGTTTTAGTGGACACATAACTTCTTTGTAAAAAGAAATGTAATTTTTTTTTCTTGGTCCCGAGGATTGAACTCAGGACCTCACACTTGTCAGGCAGGTGCTATGCTGCTGAGCTAAATCCCTTGCCCAAGAAATGTAATTTTTATGTAATTCAGGCTGGCTTCAAAGTTGTGGCAATCCTTCTGCCTCAGCTTCTCAGGTGCTGGAATTACAGCTATGTGCCACGGTGCCTGGCTAAAATGGCTAGTTGGTTGCTTGTTTTGTTTGTTTGTTTGTTTGTTTGTTTGTTTTGAGACAGGGACTAGCTATGTAGTTCAGACTGGCCTTAAACTCACTATGTAGTCCAGGCTCGCCTTGAATTTGAGGTGATCTTCCTGCCTCAGCCTCCCAAGTGCTAGGATTACAGGCGTGTGCCACCATACCCAGTTTAAAATGCCTAGTTTTGAGAGAGGATTATACATTAGAGTAATCAAGTCATGGCTTTGTCTAACTAGACCTCTCTCCCCCTGTCCCAGATGGCCCTTTTCCCTTCCTTCCCTGTGACTCAGCCTCCGCCTCTCTGCAGCCTGGGGGAAATAGGTTGTGGATGGGGCCTGCCTGCTGTGGGGCAGAGGAGGGACTTTGCTGTCAGGAAGGTTGGTTTGGGATCCTGGCTCGGCCTCTGGTGTCCTGTGACCTTGGTGAAACATGAGGAAGTAGGGACTCTGGCTCGAGGTACAGCAGAACCTTCTAGAGAGCTTGTGGGTTTCTGCCTGGGTGATTTACCAACTGCGCTGCAGTTTAGCCTTCCGGAGCCCACCTGCTCCTTTTGTTGGCCCAGCCTCAGCACTGGGAAGAATTGTGGCTACTGCTGGGGCGGCGGCCCAGGCAGGCCCTCCTGTGAGCTCTGCTGAAGCCCTTCTGGTCCCGTGGGGGGGGGGGACGGGACCTAGGGTCTTGTGACATGCTCTGCATCTCTCTAGCACTGTGGGCCTTGAGGGAGTTTTCTGTATGTATTTCTCAAGGGTAAATTACTTGCAGGTAAGCAAAGGTTTTTTTCTAATTTTTCCATTTTCCAGAATACTGTGAGTACAGCAGATGCTTTGTAGTTTAATTAGAAAATGTCGTTTTCATTTTGTGATTACCCCTAATACTAAATTAATCCTCATTACCTTTTTGCAGATGTTTTATACAGTGTGTGGATGTAGATAAGGTCATATCTGTCAAACCTTTCAAACTAGTTTTGAACTTTTTTGCCGAGGGCAGTACTAGGGATTTAACACCCAGGGCCTTCACACTACATCTCCAGCCATATAAAATTTTTTTTTTGAGGCAGGGTCTCAGTAAATTATTAGTTTGCCCCGTCTGGGGTCTTTCGAGCCTCCTGCCTCAGCCTCCTGGAGTGCTGGGATTATAAGCATGTGCTGTCACACCTGGTTTAGTTTTGAACTTTTTAAGTACAGATGATGACATCTGCAACTGTGCACCCACCTCCCCTGGTGTATTCGTGAGCTTCCTGTCCCTGTGACAGATGCCTGGGACTAACAGCTTGAAGGAGGAAAGGTTCATTTAGGCTCTCGGTCAGAGATTTCAGTGGCCAGGGGTGAAGCAGAGCTTCGTGGTGAAGATGTGGCTGAGGAACTACTCACCCCATGGTGGCCAGAAGTCAGAGAGAGCCCAAGAAGAGGCTGGGGATGAGTCATCGGCTCTGAGTCCCGTCCTGTGAGCTACCCTCTTGACCTAGGCCCTGCCTCCTAGGCTTGCATCATTTCCCAGGATGAGTCAGAGCCCTCCATCCATTTACCTTCCAGAGACCCCCGGAAAGCTACAGCATTGGGGCACCCAGCTCTGAACTATAGGATGGGGCAGTGCGGGGTCTTGGAGGCGAGAGCGTGCGTCAGTGTCACATAGTCTTGTGGGCTCTGGTACCTTTGCAAATGCTCTTACAGGCTAGAATCCTGTTCAGCAGGCAGGCAGGCTTTTTCCTGTAGCTCTTTTTAAATTTTCATAGTTCTCTCTCTTTTTTTTTTCAGTACTGGGGATCGAACTCGGGTCCTTGCACTTGCACAGCAGGTGACGAAACCACTGAGCTAAATCCCCGGCCCCTATAGTACTCTTTTTAAACATTCTTTCTTGCTTTTTTAACAGGTTGTCGTGAAAGATTTCAGGACAAAAATGTTTCACTTAAGGACTTGTGCTGCTAAGTTGAGGCCCTTGACTGCCTCCCAGACTGTTAAGACATTTTCACAAAACAAATCAGCAGCAATTAGGACGTTTCAACAAATCCGGTGCTACTCTGCGCCGGTTGCTGCTGAGCCCTTTCTCAGTGGGACTAGTTCAAACTATGTGGAGGAGATGTACTGTGCTTGGCTGGAGAACCCCAAAAGTGTACATAAGGTAAGGCTCACAGGTGGTCCCGTGTTGGGTAGGCGGCCTGGTGCCGACTGGCCGGCCAGGTAAGTGTGTGTTTCCCACGGCACCGCCAGGCAGGCAGGCGGCCAGAGCCCTGCACCCATCACCATGTCCTCTGCCTCAGACCAGTGTGACTGCAACAGAAACCACAGTCCTTGTTTTGTCCAGTAGTAGACACCAGGCTCAACCCTTCAAGGATGTGAGGAAGCACGCGTGTGGCCCTCATGTTGGCACACCAGGCAGCAGCACATAGCTCTGTGAGGACACAAGTCAGTGTGTGGCCCTGGAAGGACACCAGGAAGCACACGTGGCCCTGCGAGGACACCAGGAAGTACATGTGTGGTGCTCCATGATCTCAAGAGCTACTTCAGATGAAGCCTCTGAGGAAAGAAAGACCGGAAGTGCCTGGGAAGGAATGGGGCCTCAGAAGCTCTCCCACCCTGACTGTCCCGAGAGGATCCTCTAACACATGACATGCCTGAAAGTCCCGTTGTGTACATTCTCCATAAATGGCCTTCTAGATCATGGTGTTCGTACTGCCCTCCTGTTTCTCTGCTTTCCTTCTTCCTCAGCAGGTTTGCTGGTAGAAGCCATGCCGCAGGACCATGTGTTTTAGTCTCTTTGTGGCTGGTTAATGTTCGTCGGTTTCAGGGGCTGCTTCTTGGTTTTGGGGTTAGGCTACCAGTCTCATGCGGGTCTTGTGACAGGTGGTAGTGGGAGGTGCGTCCCACAGTCTGGGGGAAGAAGAAATGGTCCCGATTAGGTTTTGGCTCAGTGTGTGTGGGGTTTTTACTCAGCCTGTGTGCTGACCCTCACTGTGGTTGGGCCTCTGCCATGCGCTGATGCTGGAGTCATCTCACCGGAAGGGGCCTGTGTCCACCAGCCCGTGGGTAAGCGTCACCTCCGGGGGTTAGTGACACCGAGGAGCAGGCACATTGCTGTGATGGCTGAGCCTTGGGACCTGTTCGATATCAGTGTTCCCCCTTTGCTCAGCGTCCCATTTCCACTGCTACCTGAGCCAGGCGAGACCTGGTTTCTTAAAGAGATCTGCAGTTCATTTCCCAGTGCGGAAACAGATTGCCCAGGAAAAGTGCCTGTGACAGTGGCCCCTGAGTATTCTTTTTGGGGCCTGGAGGTTCCTGGTGACAGCAGGCTCAGATTGTCTCTGGAATAACACAGCCCCAGAGGCTTCCAAGTCAGAAACATCATCTATGCCAGGACTGTTCCTTTGTCTTCCTTTTCTGAAACATAACCTTTTTTGTAGCCATGTGTGGTGGTCCAT